TGGTTTGTTTAGCCTCGTTTATCTGCGTCCTTCCCAGATCTTCCCTAGGAATTTCATTTAAATAGGCAATTGATGATATTCAGTAAAATGGCCTCAAGGAGCGCCTTGTGTTAAAATGCACCCGAGACAGAGGGTGTCCCACGTGGTTTGGGTCATTTATACAATTCACTTTGAGGCCGTTAATCTGAACTCTGCAGGATGTTTGCTCATGTTCCTGAGTTCCCTGCATAATTCATCAAAACAGGCCAGCTCTCTTCAGATCAGTCCTGGGGTTGGAGCGCTGGAACGAGCACAGGTCAGTGCTGGCGTGGGGTCCAGCCGTCGGTCTGGTCCCTCTCTTCTCCAGCACAGAGAGGGGTGGGGGGGTTAATGCACTGACACTGCCACGGAGCCTCTGGGGGCAGATATACCGTGATAAAGGAGCTTTAGTACTGTAACTTCCTCTATACTAGAGGTTTTTCAGATAGCACAAATTGTTAAGAACTAATTTCTGGGCAGCAGAGCCCAGCAAAGCCTTTGGATGCGCTTGGGTCTGAGACAGTGTTTGTGCAAAGCTTGTCCTGGGACCGTGGCTGCTCGTCTTCTCGTGGGGGTCTGATGGTGGAACCTCTTCCTCGGTGGCACATTGAGCATCTGCCCTCTGCTGCACAGCCCGTGTGTTAGAAACTGCCAGGGGCTTAATGACCTTGAGCCCCCCAGTCTCTGGGATCGCAGCCAGGAGCCGTTTGGTCCTCACCGGGGCTGGCTCCTGTAAAAGCCGATGCAGAAGATGCTCCATCCTGATGTGAGCTGAGAGCTTGGTGTTGTTGGCTTAAAGACCAAACGTGCTGGTGTCTGCTGACTGCTGTGTGCCATCCTTCAGAGCTGACCCTGTGCTCGCTGGGCTGGAGGGGGTGGCGGGTGTCCTGATGGGCTCGTGCCGAGGTTTCTCAAGGAATTCGTGGAAGGTGTGGGAATGAACCCCCGCAGACTGGTGCTGGGTGTTTGATGTGTCTCCTTGTGTGAAACAACCATCTTTCCATCAGTCAGACTACGAAAGGGTCGGGGTGGTGGTATTTGCTATATGAATATCTATATATATATATGAAGGCATCCTGAAATGGTTCATTACGGTGGATTTTTGTCCATTTTCCTGGCTGCTCAGAGATACCTGCTCGGTGTCGTTATCTCATCAGCGCAGTAGTTGGAAATGCATCCTGAGACTGCAGACACCTAATTATGAAGAAAAGATTTTTGCCATCAGTCCTGGCAGGAGAAAATCTTTGTTGTAGACCTGTTTGGATATCCAGTGAAAAGTAGCATCTGTAGAGCTTGTATATAACACCCAATGCTGCTTCTCTAGCATTTGACATTTCATTAAAAAAACCCATACAAAACCAAAAAAAACCTCACGGGCTTTGGCCACTGGAATGGCTCACTCATCTAAGACCTCGCCTCCCTCCCTATTAGCTAATGAGTGTTGATTAAGGTATGAAATTGGCTCCAATTTGCCATAGTAGGTGAAAATTTCGTGCTGGAAGGGATAACGTAAAAGGCAACACAGGAAAATTAACAGAAGTGGAAGAGTCTCTATGAATTGCAATTAACGTAAAGGTAAACCTATTGCCAGGGTGCTTCTGGCAGCGCTCGAAGTTATGGCCTCGTCAGTCGTAGTCTGTGCAGTACACATTGGCTGTTCACGTGAAATAAGAATTTTTTACTACTTCTTTAAAAAACTGAATGTGAAAACAGACAGAAACTATCGAGATACAAAAAAGCAGGAAGATGAGAAAAATGTCACTGCTCATAATGTTGAAAAGCTGTTCACATGAAATGAGAATTTTTTACTACTTTAAAAAAATGAATGTGAAAACAGACAGAAACTATCGAGATACAAAAAAGCAGGAAGATGAGAAAAATGTCACTGCTCATAATGTTGCTAATTATAAGGTAAATGAATGTTGACATTTGGAAGTTCGGCTGAAAAGATCAGACACACACTAAGGAGTAGAGGATCTATGTAAAGTGTGATGTAGGGAAGGAAAAAGTCATGTAAAGGCTGGAAGCTTACCATCTCTGGAAGAGCAAAAGAAAGGAAAAGGCTCAGCGCTGTCTGGCGCTGGTTGTCACAATTATAGAGTGGGAATCTAGAGATGCTTTTAAAACCTTCCTCTCTTGGAGTGTTTCTGATTTGTGATTGCAGAAGAAGGTCCCAGCAGGGTAATATTATCTTAAAAGTCACGAGGTGAATAGAAGTAATGCATTACCTTTCCTGATCTGGTGATATTTTGGTGAGTGTTTTGCATTTATCAGAGATACAGGTATTCTCAGTTGCATAAAGCTAAGGTCAAACACTTTAATTTTAATCAGAATATCTTCCTTTTTAGCTGAGGCAGGCACCTCCATCCTTTCAGCAAAATATTGCTGCATAAGTTACGGTGGCAAATGTTGCTGCTTTGCCTCCTGCCCAGAAGTTGACAAAGCAAACGTGAGTAAGACGCGTTCTTGCCACTTTTGCTGTTTTCTTCTTTTGTTAAGGTAAAGCGCTTTCCATCCAGTCTTTGGAAGTGTCAGGAATCATCATTGTGCTCTCATTCTAGAGTCTGGGAGGCTCGATTTTTGGCTTTTGTGACCTGGGGTAAGAGATACCCTCAGGAACGCATGAAATGATGCGCGGGCATGCTTGCCTTCAGCAGGGCTGAGGGTCATCATGGAGGTTCTCCCAAAGGACAGCCTTTTTTTTTGATCTCTTTTTTCCCCACCATAAAATAGGGAGATGGGCATGGTCTGGTTGCAGCGGGCAGAAGGGCTGTTTCCCCAGGGGCGCTGGTGGTTAACCAGCGTTCAGACCTCGGGCTGCTGGACCGTGGAGATGCGCAGCACCGGCGCTGTGCTGGCAGCGGGCGCGATGCTGCAATGCACCGCCTCGGGCTGCGTCGCAGGAACGTCGCATCTCTTGAGGTGCTTTGTGCCTTGACCTACTAACTCAGCACATGAGCCCGATTTCTGCCCTTTGCATGCCCTGGGATGTAGTGCATGCTTTCAGCTCCCTGCTCCTTTTTTCCCCTTTATTGTCTTGGCTGTGGCAGGCAAAGGTGACTGGGAGGGGGATGGTCTCTCGTGCTCAGTTGGCTTTCAGGATGCTGCTACAAGATGCCAGATCTTCAGGTGCATGTCATAAACTATTTATTTTCTCTATAATTCACACTATGTTGCCTTTTTATTTCTGATCCTTTTTAATATGAGTAGTTACTCATGTTTTCCACTTTAATGCAATTATACTATACTTTGCCTTTTCTCTATTCCAGGTAGCTGACAAGCTTGCTCAGCCATTACATGGTATTAAATGAAGTAATTGCAATATTAAGTTCGTTCTTCCATGCCATAAAAAAATGCTGTTAAGGAGTAACTGCATGATACTGCCTAGAGAATTGGGTTTTAGGCTGAAAGCTCTGTGGGTGCATTTTATTGTTATTGACCATCCCAGGGTGCCTGGGAGAAGGTACCAAGGGCTCTCCTGATTTTTTTTTTTTAACCTCTTTGTGCTCTGCCGAAGGCTGGAAGGCAGGACTGGCTT